GCAACTTTACGATGATGGGAAAGAGGTTCAAGCTTAGCAGATAGTCCAGGTCCAACAACATTTACAATGCGTTTTTGGACCTTGTCAAGAAGAGAAAGTGAATCGTTAGAAGAACCAGCCCAAATATTACAACAGTATTCCATACAGAGACGAATAAGAGATTTGTAAAGGTAGAGAATGGAATCAGAAGTAAGGAAATGGCGAGCACGGTAAGAGAAGCAACCTTAGCAAAAGCTAATTTAGCAATCGATTGTATATATGGTTTCCATGAAAGGTCAGTAGTAAGCGATAATCCAAGAAGACGTAAAGAGGACGACTCAGTAAGAGGATTGCCATTCATTAATATAGGAATGTTGACCATATTACGGTAGTTGTTTGCAGTAAGCAATTGGGTTTTTTTAGAGTTGAAATTCACAAGCCACTGTGAACCCCAATCTATTACTGAAGTGAGATCAGATTCAAGATCAGCTGCTTGTTCTAGGCGATCGGAAAGAGAAGACTTTTTGTCAAGACAAGAGTATAAAGTTGAGTCATCAGCAAAAAGAGCTACTTTAGATGAAAGGTTGTCAGGAAGATCGTTTATGTAGATAAGAAACAAAACAAGGCCCAGGATGGAACCTTGGGGAACCCCAAAAGTTACTGGAAATAAAGAAGAGTGTTGGCCTTCAAGGATGACTTTAATAAACCGGTTAGAAAGAAATGATTTGATAATCTCAAAAACTTTCCCAGAAACACCATATGAAGCAAGCTTATGGAGAAGACCAGCATGCCAAACTTTGTCGAAAGCTTTAGATATGTCGAGAGCAATAGCCCTAGCCTCACCGCCTCCATCTAATGCACGATAAAATCTTTCAGTTACAGCAGTTAGCAAGTCGGCCGTAGAGCGAGAGGATCGAAAACCGTATTGATTGTCTGACAGCAGTTTATTTGACTCAAGATGAGATGTGAGGAATTTGTTGATCAAAGACTCAAAGACCTTGCTAATAACAGAAAGAAGACTGATCGGACGATAATTGGAGGGGTCAGAATTTTCTCCAGAATTTTTGAATATTGGAACCACAGATGCTATTTTCCAACAAGCAGGAAAACAAGACTCAGTCAAACACTTGTTAAATAGTTTAGAGAAAATTGAAGAAAGTTCTGGAGAACAATTCTGAAAGACTGTGACAGGAATGTTGTCTGGACCACAAGCTGTAGATGAGTTTAATTGAGATATGACTTTAGCAACAGAAGCCGGAGTGATTTGAATGTCTAACAATGGGTCAATCTGTTTGACTGGAATGGAAGGAAGAGAATGTCCATAAGATTCAAGAGTGGAATTAGAAGAAAAGTTCTTTGCAAATAGTTCTGGCTTATCCTTGGGAGAGGTAATAAGATCAGTCCCATGAATGAGAGATGGAATGTTAGATCTACCCTTGTTAACAATGCTGTTGAAGATTTTCCAAAAGTCTTTAGAGCCTAATTTCTGCGATAAGATGCGAGATTTAGTGAACTGAGAATAATGGAGTTTAGCATCAGAAAGCTCCTTTTTACATCAATTTCTTGCAATAATAAATAGCCGTTTGTTCTCAAGAGAGTTGTTATTTTGAAAAAGATGAAAAAAATGATTACGATTGGATACAGCAGCCGCACAAGAAGGAGAAAACCATGGAGTACAATGAGGCTTGGCTTGAAACCGACGAGAAGGAATAAAAGCTTCCATTCCAGCCTGAATCCAGGAGGTTACGTAGGAGGCGCATTTGTCAGCTGAGAGAGAAAAAACATCAGCCCAAGGACCATCACGAAGAAAACCACGAAAAGAATCCCAGTCAGCTTTAGGGTAGTAGTAGGTGGTGCAATGATAAGGTGAGCCCAAAAAAGAAGTACGAGAAGAAAGATTTATAGAGATCATTGCATGGTCAGAACCACCTAAGGGAGAAAAGGGAGAAACTGAACATAAGCTAGGGTCAGAGACAAGACATAAGTCAAGGAGTGAAGATAAATGATTAGGGTTGTCATGAAAACGAGTCACAAAGTTAACTATCTGAGTAAGAGATTGAGAAACGCAGAAGTTAAAGGCTTTAGTGCCAGCAGGATCAGTGGTGTTAGAGCCAAGCCATTCAGTGTGATGGGCATTAAAATCACCAACAACAACAATATTGGCAGAGGGGTAAAGAGAGAGGGCATGGCCAATTTGATCAGAGATAACATCTAAAAGAGTGCAATCATGGGAAGAAGGAGAACGATAAAGAACAAAGAGAAAGGTGATAGAGTGAAGAGATGCTAGGCGAAAGCACATAAAAGAATGGTCAAAGGATTCGAACCTGATTTCACGACAAATAGGGGAATTAATGCGTATGTATACCCCTAAACCTAGCATGTGACTATTGGAGTCTTTACGAATCAAAGGATAGTACCCATCAACACTGACATCTGAAGAAGGAATTGCAGAACTTAAATTTGTTTCACTGAGTGCAAGCAAGTCTGGTGAATTTTGCAGGAGGTAAGACTCAACTGATGGAAAGTTGCTTCGTAGACCGCGAATATTTGTAAAACATATATTAAAATATTTAGGTGGTGGGGATGGTTTTTTAGGTTTTAAATTTTTGGTTACTTTGGTCATGATTTGGGTTTAATGAGAACTAGACTCATTCATAGATAGAGCACAGCCTCCTAATCAATGAGCTATGCAGTTGTCTCAGTCCTGTTAATTAACCCTAAGCCGTGACATAGGGCTCCTTATGTGGCCTTGACAATGCACACCAAAAGCATTAACAGGGACACCATCCATGCGCAACATGGCACTGTTAATACTTTGATATTTTGCAGCTGTTGATGGAATCAGCCTCTCTAAGAGCTACCACAGAGTTCGAAAAACCTTACTACCAGCCGGCCTCAGAACCATTAAACTGAGTTTTAGAGCTGTACCCTCATATGGAGATAACAGGAAGAGTTGCATAGCCATTATCAAGGAGGCATAAGCAAAATTCTATGAGTAGAGTCAAGGAGATCCAGCATTCATCATCCTAGGCAGGAAACAATGTAACACAGGTTACATCTACGCCAGCCTAATAGATGAAGAAGGGGTTCGAGGCTGGTTAGCAGAATTTTTCTGCTTACCCCTAAAGTCTTTGCCTAGGAGGCCTTCTACAAGACAGTAGCAGGATGCAGTTAACATCTGCCCAAGATGAGTATTTTTATCGAGACACCATCTCTAGCCTTTACTCAACCAAGAGCCCCAAGGCAGGGGAATTTTTAGTCGGAGTTTATTTCTCCTAGCCTTTGCATAAGAAGAGCACACTCTGCAAGGCAGTAGGGCTTGTGGCAGGTGGTACTGGGTTACGTGATACCAGTAGCAAGATTGATCTCGATTAGCCTGACCTGACCTGGAAACTTCAATCAATTAAGATCAAAACTTCGTATCTGACCTAATCGGCTTCTCTGTTTTGAATAAATTTTGTTGACGAAGCACATGTACTACTTGAAGTAGAGTTTGCAGTAAGACTTTATAAGTAATTTGATTTTTCAGCCAAAACGTGTAAAAATTTTAAAGGAATAACATTTTTCTTATTTTTTTATTTATACTTTATTTCTTGCTCACTTTTTAATATAATATTTGCTGTTGTTGGAAGGAACATTTTGAGAAATGAATTTTACAAGCAAGTTGCCGAGAAAATCCATAATTCCGCTGAAATAACCCCAATTCTCAAGAAGTTTTTTCCAAAAGACATTTTCACAGTTATACAATCACGTAGTTTACCTACAACGGCGATTTTATTTCAAGTTTTACGCAATTAGTTAATTAGAATTTTTTATGTTATTTTTCTATTAGTGTTTAATAATAATTAACTTACAATAATATTTAGAATTATTATCAAACTTTAATTTATAATTTGGCAAACTTTTTTTGGAGAATAGGATTTTTTTTACATTTAATTTTATTTTAATTTTAATTTTATGAACATTTGGGAATACCGCGTTTGACATGACCCCAGAGGGCTAGTTTATACCCTGACATACCATTTTGTTCTAATCAAGGCAACTGGTTCCCAGGAACACTTTGATTCTTTATCAGATCAGGTTGTTTCTTTAAAAAAAAACTTTCTTTTAAAATCAACAAAATTGATTAAAAATGATCTTTATCTTTACAATGAAAATTTAAACAGTTCATTCAAAGCGAATAATAATATAATATTACCCTGGCAAATTGAAATTCTACAAACAAAAAATTGTAAAAAAGCTTCAACTGCTATGACATTCTTATAATTTATTGATTAAAAATCACAAAATAAACTTAAAATTACTAAGTAATTTTAAGTTACGAACTGAACTATTTCTATAACCCTTTGGTTTTATTACTGATTAAATAAGAAATTTTTTTTAGTTCCAATCAAGGAAACTTTGAACTATTATGTTATATCACTGCAATAACATGCTTGCAGCACCTTATAAGATAAGTTTATATTGTTATCTACATTTTAAATCTCACCGCATTTAACACAAAAAACCGTATAACCTATAGCAGTATAGTTTACTCAGCGCAATCAACATAGTGTGAACACAAAATTAGATAATCGAAAAAATGAAGCAAACTTTAAATTAATGAAGCAAACTTTAAATTAACTTTAAATTAAAAGCTTTAAATTAATGGTGGACATGCATTTTTTGAAGGATAACTTTTAAAATCTATCAAAACGTAAAAAATAAGACGTTTTAGTAGAAAAATGAAAATATAGCCAAAATTCTTTTTTGTTCAAAAATAAATGTAAGTGTTCCAATTAAGGCGCTGTTCCAATTAAGGCAAATCTCCCCTACCATCATAAATTCTTTTAGAGTTATATATTCAGATTTTTTTTGACTTTTGTATTGTAAGTTCACATTCTAACATTTAAACATTAAAAAAATTTATCAGTGTTAATAAAAGTGTTTTTAATCAACATATAATAGTCTCCAAGCTCTAATCAAAAGACAAATCCTACAAAGTCAATTACGGAAGAAAAATATAAGAAAAAATACAAAAATAAGAAAATAATTTATTACATATAAAATCTTGCAAAAAGTTTTAAATAAGAAATTTTATCACTTATTAATATTAGTATATAAATCTTTATCTATCTTTAGTATCTGTCTTTAGTATCTAAATTTTCCTGGGGAATTAATGAATATAAGATTTGCGTCTTTTAAATAAATATCTTCTCCGTAGAATGTTTTATAATATGCATTTTCAAACGCAGCACGTTTATATCTTAATAAAACGCTATTTTTCCATTTTCTGTTTCCTTGCAACGGAAAGAAAATTCTTTCAAAGGTATGCTTCTTATCAAACAAATTCATATCTTCGATAAAATGGTTCTTAAAATCATTTGCGAGAGATAACAATTCTTCATGATCTTTCACTTTTGATGTATACAACGCGAGGTAACCTTGAAAAAATAACTTCAGTAATTAAGATTGAAGTAAAGTAGAGAGAGAGAGAGAGAGAAGGCCGGGTGAATAAAAAAAAGCAATTGCTTTTACTCAGTAATTGGTTAGTTTTTGTGAATAAAAACTTCAGGAGTTTTGCTCAAACTTTTATTCACGTAAAGCTGAACAATTATCCAGCGTTTTTGGAGTAAATGGCTTAGCTTTAAGTGACTTAAAATTTATTTTAATTATAAATTATTAAAGTTTGCTCAAATTTTTATTCACGTTAAGCTGAACAATTACTCCAAAAACGCTGTGTAAAAGCAAACGCTTTTTTTTATTCAACCGGCCTAATGAGTGAGAATTGTCATACTATTTAGATATTACTATATGTATGCAGTGGTTGGCAAATATTTTCGCTTAGTTACACTTTGTACTCTAACTTATTTATAAAAAAGATAATAATAAATAAATATATATATATATATATATATATATATATATATATATATATATATATATATATATATATATATATATATATATATATATATATACAAAACTCGTTGCCAAACTCGTTAGATAACAAAATTTCCAAAACGAAAGTCTTCTTCGTGAAATTGTTTCACTATTATCAATATGTAAATTAACCACGAACGATTTTATTAAAAAATACCGTTATAGATATAATTTAAAAGATCGTCCGCGTAGTGGAAGATTTAAAAAAATCTAAAAAATCAGGTCGTATCATTAAATGCAATCCAAATGCTGATGTTAAGAAAACTGCTTCCTAACTAATGTTAGTCGTGGTACTATGACACAAAGACTATATGACGTGCGACATTTTGACCGTATATGTATAAAATTACACATTGGACAATTAAAGTAAAAAAAACACTCAAATTAATTTTTTCCCAACCGATTGTACACCGAATAATTGGCACGAGAAATGTCATTCGGTATCAAGTTCCAACTGTAAAACACGGCGAAGGAAGTGTGATGGTTTGGAAAATTTTCTACGCAAAAATAGTCAGGCAATTGGTCGAGATCAGCTAAATAAGAACTCTTCTATTTACAAAAACATTTTAGAAAACAGCTTTTTATAAATGCGTTGAAGAAACAGTGAGGCAGAATCTGACATTTCAGCAGGAAAATGTCCGATTCTGCCTTACTTCACAGAAAAATTTAACACACATTCAAGTTGTTGAAACAATGGTTTTGTGCTACAAATGTGGAAGTTAAGGCTGGCCATCTCAACCTTACTTGAAATCAACACAAAAATTATAGAAAACGCGAGGTTGTCATGTTCAAATGTATACATTTTCAAAATATAAAGCTTTCTTGTTCAAATTATTTAAAAAAAAAGGGATTTAAACTATTATTTAGAACTAAATTTTTCTGAAAGCTTTTCAGACAGAATCTCAAAGATTCCTAAATGATTCTCAAAGATTCAACTGAATGGTAGTACCATCCAAAAATAAGAAAAAAAAAAAACAAAAAAAAAAAAAAAACAAAAAAAAAAACAGTTAAATGAGGTTAAATAATTTACCTACAATAACAAAAATTTAAAAACATCAAATATAAAGAATTTTTAAATAACCAAAAAAAAGGTTAAAATTGTGAAAAATCATTTTTTTGCCATGGAACACACCTGGTTTCTGCAAAAGTTTGCAAAATGTGTAGTTAGCTATTATTCCCAAAACAATTAATGAACCAATAATTGTACAGCTAATCCAAAATGTATCTTTAAGCAGAGGCGAGTCAGCTGCAAACAATGTGAAAGCTTTAAGGCTAACAGGAGTTCCCTAATAAAAAATAACTATATATATTTCACAACATTTCAAATAAATTAGTCAACAAAGACAACACAAAACACAGACCAGAATATTAAAAACGTTTAAGGCCGGGTGAATTAAAAAAAAGCAATTGTTTATACTCAGCGTTTTTAGGTCAATTTTATGTGAAAAAAAAATTAAGCAAAACCGCTTAAATTTTACTTTAAATTTTACGGTTTTCTCTAAATAACAATATTTGTTAATTTTGGAATTTTTAAAAAACTTCAAAACTAAAAAAATCTTATCATCAAATTAAAAGCTAAAACTTTTTAATTAATTCCTTCGTTTGGTGAATTAAAGTACATCATTATTTTCCAGAATACAAAAAAGTTAGCTAAACTTAAAAAACCTTAAAATTAAGAAAATCATTGTGAATATATATATTAGAGTGCATCAAACGCCCCATACTTTCAAAAATTGATCTTTCCCTATTCTTAAAACTTTCTATTGGTACTCACAAGACACTCTGTTAAATTTTTTCAAAATTGAATTAGATTTAGGGGGGCCACCTCAAATCTGAAACTTGTGACGAGACCCTAAACAGAAGAAAAAAAAGTTTTTCAAATGTATGTCATGTTGGGTCTCAAAAAAAGTGAAATTTTATAAAAAAAATTTCCAAAACAATAAAAATTTTACATAATATTTATTATTATAAGTTTTATTGCATAAAAATTATTTTTTAGCAAAAAATTAGAAAAAGCCATTTTTTCATGGTTTTTTGTCAAAAAATTTTTTCAAGTATTTTTAACAAAAAATCATAACTATTTTTGAAATTTTTATAAAGTTTTGCTTCTTTTGAGACCCAACATAACATACATTTGAAAAACTTTTTTTTCTTCTGTTTAGGGTCTCTTCGCAAGTTTCAGATTTGAGGTGGCCCCCTAAATCTCATTCAATTTTGAAAAAATTTAACAGAGTGTCTTGTGAGTACCAATAGAAAGTTTTAAGAATAGGGACAGATCAATTTTTGAAAGTATGGGGCGTTAGATGCACCCTAATATATATATATATATATATATATATATATATATATATATATATATATATATATATATATATATATATATATATATATATATATATATATATATATATATACAATGGCATAGGAGAGTTCTTAAATGTTTGAAATTACCAACTTTTAAACAAAAAGAATATTCAAAATTTTTTTATGTTCATATGTATGACAAAAAGATTTTTCACAAAAAAAAGTTACTGTGATAGGAGAATGGGAACAAAAATCCTTAAAATCTTAGCCCCCTTCTCCTACCCTAAATGTTAGAACAATGAGTTTAATTATTTATTTTTTCAAAAATATAAACTATTTATTTATTCGTGAACATTTCCATCAATGATAAAACAAAAAACACAATCGACTAAATTTAATTTAAACTCTGTCACTTTCTCTGAGACCATTTTTGCTGCATTTTTTGCAGGATATACATGTAAGTCCATGATTTTAGCGTTTTTTTGGTTCTTCTTTTTTAGAGTGTGTTCCTCCAGTGTAATGGAAAATTGTTTCCCACCCTACACACCTTACACACCTTCCCACCCTACAGCAATGAATAAAGATGATCTTTTAATTTTTTGACATTTTCAGAAATTTTTTTTTACTGAATGAATAACTTGTTTGTGATTTTGTGGAAAGTCATAACCTTTTTCTGTCATTTTAGACAAGATAAATGCATTTTTGTTAAAGCATAAAATTATATCCACACCGGCTAATTCTAAAATTCACCTGACTGAATTGTGTCAAATACCCAACTAGCCAACTGTATTCCTAAAAAAACCGACTATAATCTAAAAATTAGTTTGGGGGGGGGGGGGCAAGACACCCCCCACCATCACCACCACACATTCCTTTCTAAAATTAATTAGAAAATGATGTGTGTATATATATATATATATATATATATATATATATATATATATATATATATATATATATATATATATATATATGAGCAATTCCGCCCTCATAACATTTGACACTCTTTAAGCTATTAAAAATAAATCAAAAATGTAAATGACTTGAAACTTTCCAAAAATGTGAAATACTATCATATAATTTAGTATACAAAAGTTACAGCATTAAAGTCTTAAAATTATTTCAAAAATTAACTCTATGTAGCATGACAGTCACAGTGTTTACTTAACCACTTCTGAACAAAACAATTTTGTCTGACTTAATCTAGCGAACGACATGGTAATAAAAAAAATCATTTGGTTTGTGTATTTAGCACATATTGATAATGTTATATGCTGAGTTTCATAGTTTTTAGATAAAGTTTAACAAGCATTTTTTTTTTGTCGTGATGGTTGTAACAAAAAACAACAAATAAAACAATCCAATCAATGATTTAAGAAAAAAGTATAAACAATTATTTAAAACCATGTAAATTATGTTTAAAAAATGCACTACAACATCAAAGTTCTCAATTATGGTTTTACAATATGATTTTTATTGCTACCCAACAAGACTGTAAATAAATGTCCAAACATGTTTTTACAACTTTTACACCTTTAAGACCATGTTATGATATGATAAAATGATTTTTTTAAATACTATTTTAGCTTAAAAGTACTTTTAAAATGTTAAAGAAAAAAGAGTTATGGACTTTAGTATGTTTAGTATATACATATATATATATATATATATATATATATATATATATATATATATATATATATATATATATATATATATATATATATATATATATATATATACAGTTGCGAAAAATAAAATAGCAGCACTAAGTGTATTTTCTTTTTTGTTAAGAAAAAACCATGCAAAACAAAATTTTTTTATAGCTTTGCTGTTTAAAATATTAGCTAACATGTTTATTTTCTAAAACAAACCATTTTGGGAAAAAAACTGTTTGGTGTTGCTCGATTTTAATCAACAATGCCAATTCTAACCAAAAAATAAAATAGCACCGCATACTCTTTTGTAGTAAAATACTCTGATAACGGTAAAAATAATTGTGAAAATAGCAAGCATTGGATTTTTTTTTGCTGTTTTATTCGTTTTATGTTAGTGCGTATTAGTAGGAGACAATAACATATAAAAATGGGACACGGAAAGCATTGTAGTGCAGAAAAACAAGAACTGATCCGAAAGTTGATATCAGCAGGGAAATCTTATAAAAATCTCGTTGTAAAGCGTATTGCATTTGCTAAAAAACACTCAAATTGGCCACTCGAAAAATGGAGGAATATTTTATGGACAGACGAAAGTAAGATTGTGCTTTATGGTGGAAAAGGCTCTCGAGCGTATGTCAGAAGACCGCTGAATGCAGAATACAATCCAAAAAATACTATCAAAACTATTAAACATGTTGTAGTATAATGATATGGGCATGCTTTTCTTATTACGGAGTAGGGCCAATTCATCACATTATTACTATTATGGACCAACACGTTTATATGTTGATATATTGGATAAAGTGGTGTTGCCGTTTGCAGACTATGAAATGCCGTTATCCTGGGTGTTCCAACAGGACAATGACCTAAAGCACACTAGCAAGAAGGCGAAGAATTGGTTTGAGGAGTATAAAGTGAACGTTATGGAGTGGCCAGCACAGTCGCCAGATCTAAACCCAATTGAGAATTTGTGGGCTGATGTAAAGGAAGTGGTTGCTGCTGCCAAACCCACCACGAAAGAGTCACTTTGGAATGTAGCTAAGGAGACATGGAGCGAAATTTCGCTAAAGCGATGTCAGGATTTGGTTAACTCGATGCCAAGACGTTGTGTAGCCATCATTGCCAATAAAGGTCACGCTACAAAATACTAATATGTTAAGAAATAACTAATATTTATTGTACAATTTTTAAAACAATTGATCTCATAATATTTCCTTATTTTAAAGTACACATTAAAGCTGTGGTGCTATTACTTTTTTTGCGTTTTATTTGATTTTTTTTTTGAATTTTTGTTTAATAAATGAATACTATATATTAAAACTTGTATATTTTGTTTTTTATAAAAATTATAAGCCATTTTACTTTTAAATATGTATTTAAAAGATTTTCAAACTATCAAAAATAGTTAAAAGTTCTAATTTCAACCAATTTTTGGTGGTGGTGCTATTTTATCTTTTGCAGCTGTATATATTTATATTTATATATATATATATATATATATATATATATATATATATATATATATATATATACATATACATATATATATATATATATATATATATATATATATATATATATATATATACATGTATATATATATACATATATATATATATATATATATATATATATATATATATATATATATATATATATATATATATATATATATATATATATATATATATATATATATATATATTTAAACAACGTAAAATGTATTCTACAAAAAGAGTGCTCAATGTTCTTAAAAGAACAGAGCAATTACTAATTTATATATATATATATATATATATATATATATATATATATATATATACACAAATTTTTTGCGGACTATAAAAAATGAAAAACTGTTTTTCGTTTTTTATTTTAACTATTTTTTTACCTTGTGCTGGCCTCATAAAATTATCATCTTAAGTTTATTTTCATGCTTTGTGCCAGAACTGTAACCATTGTTGACACTTTTTACCCGTTGCAACTAATCAATGAAATCCAGGTTTTTCTGGCGGTGGGTCATCTGATAAAGATAGAACTCTGATTTTTTAAATGTATGCTAATTTATAGTAACAAAATAATCGGCAGTGTATTTTGATTAACCGCTTAGAAAAAAAAAAAGGGGGAGGGGGAGCCCACCCCAGGCAATCTCTTTAAATAATAAACAAACAATGGTAAAAATGTATTTAACAAAAATTCAAAAAATCAACAAAAAATAATTAACTAGCTGTCATTAGCAGCCTCGTGGTAACCAAACCATATTTAGCAGCCTTAACATAAGGAAACAAATCAGTGCTGCTATCTTATTCAGTGTCCATTTCACAGAAGCTGAATACACTTACATCTTCTATGACAGGAAACTCTTTCAAAAGTTGAGCTGGTGTTTTCTGCTCAGCTTATTTGCGGTAGACAGCTTTGGTTTTTGAGGATGACACGGTCCAGTTATTTTTGAATTTGAGCAGCTTATGCTCAGACATAACTTGAAACACTGTTTCCTGTACCAGCTTTACAACCCTCTTACTACAATCATTAATGACAGCCAAGTTTTTGACGTACAACTGGAACTCTAAATAATCAAAATTGATATTCCAGGAGCCAGCTGGATAAATCATCCATTTGGACTTTGTTTTGTAATGGCCTAAAATCTCAAATTAGCCATTAATCAGCACTGATAAAGTCAACCAGTTTTGACTGCTTGTCAAGTACAGACATGTCTTTTGTTTCAGGTAAGAAACCTTTATTGTTATGTCTATCCATGTCATAGTCATTTGGTATGGGTATGTTATATAGCGTTTTGGTGATCATCTCCTTTTCTTGTTCAGTAATTGAATCATCTGAATTTGTATGCACAATGGGAACAGCAGTTGGATCCAGGTACCAGCTATGGTTTTCCCATGATTTGAACACTCCACTTACAGCAGGTTCATCCTCAACATACCTGGACATCTTCCAGATAGAATTCAAGTCCTGATAAAGAAAAAATGATATATTTTTGTAATTTTATAAATATATAGTTTTAATGCATAAAATTTAGTAATAATCAATTTATATTTAAACTTAATATTTTTAATAGTTTTGTTTGAATATCTGTAACAGAGCAATGCCTGGTTTCTCATTAGTCAGAAACTTAGGTGCAAAGAAGATAGCAATAAACTTGCCCATCCTGGTGATAAGAGCTGAATCCAGATCTATATGCTTTTGCACAGAATCTTTAAGATAAACAATTTTTAGGTAATGAATACCTTTGGCAATGAATGTGGCATGGTGCATAGCACCAGATTTCTTAAATTTGCAGATATAGCTTGGGTACATAAAACATAACTCTTCTAGCTCATGGTAGTTATCTCTTTTCTTACCAGTCTAAAATTTTATTATGTTTTTATTGAAAGTTTTCTAAATCTAGATACTGTAAAGCAATGAAAAAAATGGTATTAAAAGACTGCATTTTTTTCATGCTATCATGCTAGATATTATAACGTAATAAAAAAAATGCTAAAAATTGTTATTTAGAGTTTTAATAAATATCTGCTTACAATAATTTTAAACTAACCTCTGAGTTTTTAAAAGCTTCTGATTTTACTATCTCCATAAGTTGGTTCTTTGCTTCAATGGCTTGACCTTCTAGCCAAGTTCCACAAACAGATTTCCATTCAAACCTATTCAGCTGGCAACTTTCAGTATCAATGAAATGCTATTGTTTATGAAGCAATTTAAAAATAGGATTTTCAAGACCAACAGTGGCCTTACATCTAATAACATTTTTGAAATGATTGATGTCGACTTCTATGTAGGGAATGTAGGCCAACATCAGTAAGGGCTTGCAAAGGTCAGATCTTAGTCTTAAAAGTGTATAGTGTTCTTTCATTTTATATTTAACGCAGTTAAATCATGATCATTATTTCTGTAGCCTTACATAATTGCTATAGTACTTTAAAAATTCAAATAACAAAGTTAGTAGTAAAATTTATTCTTGTTTTTATTCACCTGTATATAGTTCCACGCAGTTTTCCAGTATTACTGCCGATAGTATCAAAGCATATTGAGTGCATATTGTCGGCTGTCAATCTCCTTCAAAAGGTCACTAATTGCATTAAACTGGTTTAGGCCAGTGCCATAGTCAATGCCTGGTGCACCTAGCAGACAATTTTTGCCACCAAAACATAAAAGTGCACAGATCCTGTCTTTTGCTTTGTCATAGTGCTTTGTAAGGTATTAAATCCTTTAATATTTTTCCATCAAAATGTAGTTCAAGCTTGCTATCCTTGGGGTTGATGTGATACTGCAATAGTTTTTTCAACTATTTTATTTTTGAAATCATCATCAAGTATCTTATTTTTCGTTCTATATATGAAAGAGGGAGCTTATCTGGATCTCCTCATTCTTCAATAACCAACTTTGTTAGAGTAGCAGTGATTTTATTGGCAGATATGTGGGCTCCCAGAGCTGTTCTTATTGTGTTATGTATGGTGTCTTTGCTAATGTCAATATGTTAAGATTGAGAACTTGATGTATTTTGTTTTTTTGCAGGACTAGGCTGCCACTTGAACCGAGTGTGTCATATGAATTTGAAGTTTTAAGTAATGAATCCTAAACATCTACAATAAAAGATATTATCTATTAGTCACTCTTTTCCAAATCTCTCTTTTCTTTTTGCTTTGAATAGTCAGATCTTGCTTTGTCCAGATCTTTGATACACATCTTGCAATCTGTTATCTGATCTCTGATGAAGGCAATGTCATTTGCGTTGCCTTCCTTGAATGTAAACTTATTTATCTTGATAGCTTTAATAAGTGTATTGTGGTCAGCCCTTGCCAAAAATAGTATGATAAAAAGTAAAGTAAATTATGTTAGTTAATATAGTAAAATAATAGTTTCTTTGTTGTTATGATCGCCTTTTTTTGGGCTTATGAGAGCTGGAACAACCAGTACCACTGTTAACAGGCTCTAATTCTGTCTTGTTCTCATTTTATAATTTTATTAATAATTTAAATAATTTACATCGAATATCTTGCATAATTGCCATTTGATTCAAAAAAAAATTTAAAAATACTATAACAACAATATACTATATATAACAACTATATACTATATATAACAACTATATACTATATATAACAACTATATACTATATATAACAACTATATACTATATATAACAACTATATACTATATATAACAACTATATACTATATATAACAACTATATACTATATATAACAACTATATACTATATATAACAACTATATACTATATATAACAACTATATACAATATATAACAACTATAGAAAGAAATTTACAAAGTAGCAAAATCACAGAACAAAATTTCGCTTTTTATATTAAATTTTTTACAACTAAAACTTACAACTCTCTACAAATCTTCTACTGTTACTAAGCAAATCTATTTTTAATTTTTTTATGACTTCAAAATTTAATTATTATTAGCAAGAAAACAGAAACGTGTTTAACCAGAAAAAACGTGATTACATCATTAATAATGATGCAACCATGTTTTTTCTTGTTAAACACATTTCTGTTTTCTTGCTAATACTGCTAAATCCCTTCCAATCCTTATTGTCTATTACTAATAATGAGAAAATATAAATAAATTAAAATAAGCAAAATAGGGTTGAAAAGTTTACTTCCCCCCCCTCTTCATTTCATTTTCAGAGATTGACTGAGGTTGACTTTCCACCCCACCCCTTTTTTTTTTTTTTTTTATAGGTGGTTTATCAAAATAAACTCCTAATTATTATGTTTCTATAAATTATTAAAGCATACATTAAAAAAATCAGAGTTCTATCTTCATCAGAAGACCGTCAGAAAAACTTGTCAACAAAGTGTCAACAATGGTTACAGGTCTGGCGCAAAACATGAAAATGAACCTACAATGATAATATTTAGTATATGTCTTTTAAATAACATAAACATTCATTTGTTAAAATATAATCCAGTTTTTTTATTTTTTTTTACCGGTATATTAAGCAATTTATAAAAAAAAAAAATTTTTTTGAAAAAATTATTTAATGAAAAAAATTTGTTTTAATGACGAATTAAATAAAAACAAACTTTACTTTAGGCAAACATTTTTTTAAGGCACCCCTCCTTAAGTCCATAAAAAATAAGTCTTACATGAGATCAGTAATATTGACACACAATAATATTGACATCTTTAGTCAGAAAACTAACTTTTCTACTAGTTTTTCAATTAGCTGGCGATTTATGGATAACCATGATATGGTATGATTTTTTTTATTTTTTATTTTTATTTATTCAAAAACATTTAGTTATTAACAAGTATTTGTTAATTGTGATAAATTAAAAAAATGAAGTGTGTACTTTTAAATTTAACCCTACTCCTACCCCCTATGAGTGTACATACTTTATGGACGACCCCTTAATACGTAAACATAAATCAATACATGATAACTAACATGCTTCAATAATTCACCAAATTAATAATAGGTATGTTTTCAGAGTAATCAGAAAAACTTTCAATGTTTTTCAATTCAATTCAAACTTCTTTATTGCTTCAATTCTTTAGTGGGACTAGACTGAGAAAAATATTTTTCTGCTGACTAAGCAAAATTTTAAGTTTAATTAAAAACATTATAGAATTTCTAAAAATAACTGTTTGGATATAACAATTTAATTATGAAATCAAAAAAAATTTTTTTTTTTTTTTTAAATTTTACCAATTTACCTGCAAAATTTCCTGAACTAGTAAAAATAATTTACAGGTAAATTAGAAAAAATGGTAAAAGCTCAAACCTAATGTATGTACACTTTATGCATGTTTTCCCTATTTAACTCAGTTGATCTATTTACACTCCAGGACAGTTATCTATGCATAATTTGAGTTAGGGTTCAGGGTTACAAAGGTAACTTGTCAATAGAACAAAAATAAATTAATATATACTTAACTGAAGTGGGCGCCTTAATTTCAGGGAGATTTAAAAGAGATAATATTAATTGCATTAAAATAATACCTGAAATATTTGTGCATATTTTTCAACTAACGATGAAATATCTTTATGATTTTCACTGACATATTTTCGAAAATAACTATTTGCATTGCTAAGTGGTCCACTTATTATAATCCCATAATACAGTTTGTTTTGTATAATTTCATAATAAACCATGTTGCTCTTGTTAAAAAGAAAACTGTAAGAACTAGCAACAGAAGAATCAACCAATAGTCCATCCATTTCACTATTTTCTACAGCTTTAGAAACATCTTTTACATTTGAATATGCTATAACAAAATATACTTAAGCATTAAAAGACGACAGTAATTTGTGACAAAATATTTACATTTTCAGGCGACAGTAATTTGTGGCAAAATATATACATTTTCAGACAAAAGTAATTTGTGGTATTTTAATGTAAAAATATACTTAAACATAAACTAGGGATTGCAATCCCATAAGTTTTTTTAATCACAGAATTTCTGGAATAAAAATTATTTAACCTGGGATTCTAAAAATATATAATATAATATTTACATAATGCTAACTAAAATTAAAAAAAAAAAAAAAGATTTTTAACAAAAATATATTTATTAAATGAAGGCAATTTATATTGTTGGAAGGATTAGCTAATGTTATTTTATGTTTATATTAGGAATAAGGACAATCCCAAGATTTCTGGGGTATAAAAAAGCACATGATCCCAAAATCTTGTTGTAATCTCTAGCATAAACACAAAATACATTTTCAGATGACAGCAATATTTTGTGTTTTAATGTAAAAAATCACTACCACTTATAAAAATACAAAGAGTATTTTTACTAAACCAGAATTTGCACATATAGATCTATTGCACATATAGATCCAAGTCAATATAATTGACTGGCATTTAATAAATACTTTCTATTTTTCGACTGCCATACTAATGTTCCAAGACAGTTTAAGTCTTGATTAGTCTCTCTCTATCCTTCTCTTGTTTTTTCCCTCTCTTTCTCTTGATTTTGCACAACGTTAGTTACATTAAATAAGTAACTAAAAACCTACGATAGAAGAAGTAGAAGAAGTAGAAGAAGTAGAAGAAGTAGAAGAAGTAGAAGAAGTAGAAGAAGAGAAGAAGTAGAAGAAGTAGAAGAAGTAGAAGAAGTAGAAGAAGTAGAAGAAGTAGAAGAAGTAGAAGAAGTAGAAGAAGTAGAAGAAGTAGAAGAAGTAGAAGAAGTAGAAGAAGTAGAAGAAGTAGAAGAAGTAGTAGAAGAGAAAAAATAGAAGAGATATATAATCTTACTTTTGATTTGAGCAATATTTTGCAAAGCAAGTTTTTGTTCATAAGTGCCTTCAACAGCTGCTACCTAAAGATAAAATACTTTAACTTTTAACTTTAAAAACTTGTTTTTTAATTTTTTTTAAACTTTGTTAAATATTTAATTTACAATCTACTAATTACTTTTAAAACAAAAATAAAACTTTAAATTGAAATAAAAAAATAAAACTTTTATTAACTTTGAGTCCCATTAATGAGGTAGCTATAGCAGCAATGTTGGAAGACATTAAAAAAGTTGCAATTGCACCAATAATTAATGATGTACAGACAAGACTAGCAAATGACCAGATCACCGTAATAATGCGTCCAACTACTGTACTTGCTCGGTAATCACCATATCTACAACGATTAAAACATTAAATTTATATTGTAGATACAACAAAAGATAAATGCTAAAAATATAATATTGCTACTACAGTAATATAAAAAAATTAAAAAATAGTGCAATAATAATAAACATTATAATGCAGTGTGGTTTTTATACAAATATAAAAAATAGTTTTTTTTTATTTGATAAGGTGAAGAGAGGTTTTTTGGGACATTTTTAGGTACTAGGTCACCCTAGTACCAGGGTGCATTTGAATTTTTGAGAGCAGGTTTACATTTTTCAGAAAGGTGGAAAGAATAAAAAAATACATCATAAACTGCATACACCATAATACTTTTCATAACTTTTATAAAATATTTTTATAAAATTTTATAACCTACATACTCAAACAAATTGATTGTAAAAGTTTGATGTTGATCAATTATAAACTGTTTAAAAGTCTTTGCAAAATCAACCTGATAAAGTTATTAATGATGATTTATTTAATATTCCTTAATTAATGTAAATCAAACTTTTCTTATATAGTTGTTTAGAATTGTTTAAACAAAGACATCTGAAAAAATTATAAAAACAATGTAAGACCAAATCTCATGAGATAAATACCAAAAAAAAATTTTCAAATTAAATTACCTAAAGTAAAACCAGAATTTTCTTAAAACCTTTTTAATTTAATTTTTTATATTTACTTATGAACAACTTACTGTTAATTTGTATTGTGTTTTGTTCATCGACTGTCTTGAAAAAGGTTAAACTACAAATAGTGAATATTTCATAGCATTAAGAGATCAATCGAGTGTAAAAATTAAGATGCATAAGTAATACTATATGATAATTGAAATTAACAGAATAACAAATATAGAATGTGAACAGTTTTATAAGTAAGACAATGATAAGTAAATAAAGAGATGGAGATATTTTTTTTTACGTATCTCAAGTTCATTATAAAAAAAAACCACATTAACGAACTTAAAGTAAAAAAACTTCTTTGAAACAAAAAAAATTATTATTATTATGTTATAATATATATTATTTAATTCAAAATAAAATTTCAATAGTCATGATATTAGCAGTTTAAAGCCATATTCTAAATTTATATACATATAATATATATATATATATATATATATATATATATATATATATATATATATATATACATATATATATATATATATATATATATACATATATATATATAATATATATATATATATATATATATATATATATATATATATGCATATATATATATATATATATATATATATATATATATATATATATATATATATATGTATGTATATATATATATATATATATATATATATATATATATATATATATATATATATATATATATATATATATATATATACAATATTATATGTATATAATATATATGTATATTATATGTATATAATATTTTATATATAATATATTTATATATATAATACATATATGTATATTATATGTATATAATATTTTATATGTAACATATTCGAAATTCGAAATACTTATTCTAAAACA